AAAAACAAGCAAAACAACAAACAAACACACACAAAAACAAGCAAAACAACAAACAAACAAAAACCTTTGTCAATCCAAAGAAACAACAGGAAGACAGATAATTAAAGCACTGATGAACACCTGCAGCAGGGAAACAAACCGGAACAGGTGAGAGTGGGCGGGGCATCATCACAGAGAACTGAACCAATGACAGGTMAAACATAAAGAAAGAAAGAAAAAGGACGTGATCAACAACCAAACAACACGAATTGTGACACATTAACAGCTAATTTATTTATTTATTAAATATTTCCTCMCAGTTTTGCCTAAAAAAACCTAATTTCCGGACACGGAGCAGCTGTTTGCTCCTGAGTTTTTAGTTTGTTTTGGATGAGAGAAGGAGGCGCGCTGTGCAGCTTCTGACCCAGAGCCACCTGACTCCTTCTCTCCGTGGGGAGGTGGATGTGATGGTGATGGTGCTGCGCTCTCCGCGGGGAACTCATCATCACTTTTACGCAGCGCAGAGGGAGCGCGCGCAGGGATTGTCTGTTGTTCCAACACGGTGTCGCACTCCGCGCGCTTCTTATCAACTCTTGGAGAATTTAAAAGAAAGCAGATTWTGAGTTTTTTTTTTTTAAAGAATAAATAAATCAAACTTGATTTTTACGCAGCGCTCTGATGTGGATGAGCTCTTTACGCGCTGAAGTAAAACTAAATGTCTGCTTGCAGACCTTGACCTCGGAACCTGCACCTCGGAACCTGGACCTCGGAACCTGGACCTCGGAACCTGCACCTCGGAACCTGGACCTCGGAACCTGGACCTCGGACGCATCTCGGTTTTCCTCCTTGTTGGTTTTCGTCCAGAAACTCACATGAGGCAACGTTTCCCTCGGAGTGCAGGTTTCGTGTCGAGGCTGTGTTTCCATCAGCAGGAGGAGCCGCGCGTCTTTTTGGCGACATCTCGCGCGGAAACATGAACGTTTCCTTCTTCAACGCGACGCACGACGCGCTGTTCAACAGCAGCCAGAGCCTCGCCGGGGCTCTGGAGACATTCTCCGGTAACGGCACGGACAACGTGGTGACCGGGGACGGCGGAGGGTCYCTCGTGCTGCTGCAGGATGAGCGCAAGCTCTTCGTCACGCGCGTGGTGCAGATCGCCGTGCTGTGCGTCCTGTCGCTCACCGTCATGTTCGGGATCTTCTTCCTCGGCTGCAACCTGATGATCAAATCAGAAAGCATGATCAACTTCCTGGTGAAGGACCGGAGACCCTCCAAAGACCTGGACACTGCGATGATCGGGCTCGGCTGAGAGGACCTGAGATCTGGGTCCAGATCTGCATCTGCATATATCCGTCCAAGACCTTTTTGAGTCCCGAAGAGGAAAAATATGCAAAAAAAAAAAAAAAAAGTCAGATTTCCTTCCCAAAGTTATACAAAGCATAACGACCAATGCGTGTGCGTAAAGTTTGTGCGTAAAATCCAGGTTCACACAGAATTGTTGAGTATTTTTAATGGATTTGAATGTTGCCAACTTGAACAAAGTGTCGACAATGTTTACAAACTGTTACCTCGTTTTTTTCTTCTTCTTTAAAGTTTTATCCACAAGCATGATCTGTGAAATCTTAGCTCCACAAGTGTAACCTGTGGACGTCATGTGGGTCTGTTTTTATTTATTTATTTTTGAGACGAACTAAAAGTATTTTTCTTGGTGATGATAAGTGAAAATATTCCAGTTTTGTAAAGTTTTGAACCAACAGCTTTATGGGGTGATTGTGATCCTGTTTGGCATGCTCGCTGATTGATCCGTAAAGTGACTTTTTGTTTTTTACAAGTTTTGCACTTTTGAAAGTTTTGATGCTGCATGAGATATTTTGTACTGGTTTACTGAAACTGCAGCATGTAATAAAGATATAAAAACTAAAATGGTAAGCCTTGTTTGTGAGTTTGATGGAAGGCTGAAGCTAATTTCTTGTTTTCTTTACTAGTTTTGCTTAAAAACTTAAACATTTGAGCTCCATACAGAACCGTTTTCTTTCCTTTTAACTCAGAGCACCTTTTCTTTTCTTTTTTTTCCAAATCATTTTCCCGTCTCCTAGATGACTAAGAACCTCACCAACACTCTCTGGATTAGATCGTTACTTATTTATAGGATTAAAATGAACCCTTTAGTGGAGCACTTTTATCACTCTGAGTATTGATATGAATATTAAAAATGTTATTTAACCCAAAATGAAGACAAAGTGCTGAGATAACATTTTTATTTCAGATAAGAGGCAGACTGATCTGAGCCTGACTCGTTTT